GGGGAGGACGAGCAGGAGGTTGCCCTGAACCCCGGCTGCGTGCCCTGAACCCCGGCTGTGTGCCCTAAAACTGCCGCGCAGTACCTGCGGCAGTGGGAAGGTGGCAGCGACCTCCCCGCTCTGAGATCACGGTGGAAGCCGGGATCGCTGGAAACTTCCCGGCCTCTGGCACCGGAGGGTGTTGTGCTGGGGTTGGAGAACACGCTGCGGTTTTTGTGCCGTCTTCATTTCCTTTCCTACCCACAGCGTGCACAGCCTTTCCTTGAAGAACCCGTGCGCAGCCGGGGTGCCTCCAGCAGCGAGGGAGTGAGTTCACCGCTGGCCTCTTAAAAAAGTAATGATGGGTTTTCTAACAAGGTCACATTAAGGTTTGAATTGTTGTGGAGAGAGGTCCTGTGAGGAGCTTGCTTTCTGCTTAAGGAGCAGAGTTTGCAGCTCGTAACGTTTCATTCTTATGTGTTTCTCTTGAAATCCAGGTATCCCACCTCTTGGAATCTCACAGACAATGCATCAGCCTACGCTTACGTCTGCCCTTCATTCTTCACTACAGACTGAGCTGTCTTCAATTGCCATCTCTTTCTGGCTTAGTTAAAGCCCCATGAACCTAGGGGGTAAGCAAGGGAAGGAAGCGATGCTGTGAGGAACGTTTCACGTGGAGCAGCGTCTGTAGCTGGCACTCGGGGGAGAATGAGTACTCCAAATGGATTTCCACAGCACCCAGGGGCATGTGTTACCCGGGGCACGGAGGGTGGAGCAGTGCAGGACCTACACGCTAAAAAAGCTGGAAAAGCAGCAAAGAAGGAGGCTGGTGGCAGTGGGGTGCTTACCTTTGAAGATGCTCCAAGTGCAGGCATTGCTTTAAGTGAAACCTTAAAGCTTCTGCCAGATGACCTCAAAGCTAACATGAGAATGAAGCCACTCACTCCAAGGCCTCCTCAGAAGCCCCGGCTGGAGCGTGCTGCATCTCTGGATGAGAAAAGCTGGAGGAGGTGGAGGCGGTTTCGAACAAGCCAGGAAAGTCTGACTGACCCCAACGAGACGAGCTCCTCCAACGGCTCCCTGCAGGAAGCGTCCCTCAGCCCTCTTGCCAGGGGCAGGGGGCGGCACAACTCCTTGCGCAGTTCACCGGATGCCTCGGAAGCCAGTGCGGTGGGGAAGAGCAGAGGGAGCACCTCCGACCTGGGGAAACGAGCCTCTGAGCTCTCCAGTGCCTTCGGTGGGCTTCTGCGGGGGAAGGCGTTCACAGGCAGCAAGCCCCGGCTGTCCCAGGTAATGCCGGCGCGACCTCTGCCGCCCCTGGAGCTCAGCGCGGCCTCTCACTCGCTGAGGACAGCAAACAGGATTGACTCGGATTGCCTGGATTACCGACATTATTCCCAGCACAGGTTTGGGAGGGTGAGCAGCAGCTTGAGCGATACCAGGCTACACGGCAATGGGATGGTCTACGATAACTGCTCCACAGATTCCATGAAGTCTACGTTCAGCCTGCTCACTCCCATCCGCTCCAAGGATGTCCGCAGCAGGTACGTCCCCCGGCTTCTCCTGGCACTAGGTTTGGGGTGTTAGCAGGGACCAGCTGCCCTGTGAGATCCTGCTGGGCAGGGGCAGGGAAATTCCAACTGATCGTCAAGCACGGATGTTGTTCTGTGGTGTTTAACTTGCTGTGGAGACTGCAAACAGTTTGAAGATGAAGAGATCAGTGCAAACGCTCCGGATTTGCTCCTTTTAGCTGGGTATTGTTTTTCATAAATGTATGCTTGATTTGTTCTTGGCTTGCTTGTAATATTTAAGTAATCTTTTAAAAATAAAGGAGCAGTGGCTGCGCCAACAAAAGTATGCTGGGCTTGAACTGAGATGTTAAATTGCAGGAAAAAACCCCAAACATCTTAGCTTGAAGCTGTCATGCAGTACCTGCAGTACCATCACAGTCCTGTAAGGTGCTGAGGGTCCTCTGCGGATGTTGAGCTTGTTTGGCTTCTGGCAGGATCAGCTCTTGAGGAAGACTGTGATTCCATGCACTTTCTCCTAGCATGGCCCTGACCTCTTGCTCTGGTTGCTCATTTGTCTTCGTTCTCAGTTAAGTTTAGGTTGTTGATTGGAGGTACATTAATCTGCTTGTTAGCGTATCAAACCCTCTCCTCGTGTTGGCAGCAGCCGCTGTGTCTGTGAAAGCTG